TCTGAGCCTTAATACCGGTGCGCCTGTACTCTGACCTCTGGTTCAAATAGATGTCTTCGCACTGGTGTCGGAAGTGTTGGTTATTATACCAATCGGTGAGACAGGCCTTCATTCGGCTGTTTTCTGTGCGACACTTAAGCACCAGAAGAATGGAATTCTCTTTACAACAATCGTTGAAAGCTATGAATGAGACAACCATTCAATACATGTCAACACATGTCATGCAATCAGCGGTCAAATGACAAACCCTTTACAAAATCGGTGCACTTCTCTGTCCGCGCCTTATCTCTCATAATCTTAGGGATGAGTATCTCTTTCTCCACTCTCCGCAAAGTCCTGTCCTCTGGATCTCCTGTTTGTGGCCATAAATGAGTGAAAATAAAACTTTTAACTCTTCAATCAAATGAAGTGATGGCTTATAATTACCCAACCCTTTGGGACCGGACGACAGTTTGTCCGACAAAACTGATGTCATTTTCAGTTTAAACCATAAAATTATAATAAATTAATTTACAAATCATTTATAATTTGATTAAAACTATAATTTAATTCATAATCAAATCGACACTCAATTCAAAACATAAACACAAAAATAATTTTCATTCAAACCATAAGTAATGTCCAAAATATGCGATACTTTTGTACGGCTTTTGCATCAAAACAAACACTGATTTTTGAGACATAATTACCGGTCATTGAGTCCATCAATACATGTGCTCTGAATCTGCGGATCAATTGAATCAGTAAATTGTGATTAAGTGGTGAAGACATCGTCGTCAATATGCCATTCGGTGCTCCCCCTCCTCGTAAGTCTGGTGGCAGTGGTTCCAGAGGTTGGGTCCAGAAGATGAAGACACTATATAACGATCCCTTCCAGTGGTAAGTCATGTCTTCTGAATGTGTGACCAAATGCTGACTCATTTGATCCCAAAACAGGCAATTAGTGAAGAGTTGGCTCTTCTTCGGCGCTGGCATTATCATCGCTCGTGAGATCGCAGCCATTGATTTGTCGCCCAATCCGTTGGCCACAGTGTGAGTGCCTCAAGAAGTGGTCACTCATCGCAACAATTCATCCCATTTATTATCGAAAGGATTAGTCATTCAATTGTAGTTTTTTTTAAATATTGATTAAATATAATGCAATTTTGTATATATTTAATACATTTCTAAACTAATACTCTATTCATAAATTGTTATTTAAATTTCGTAGTTATTTGAAAAGTTTTTTTTGTACTCTAAATGAGACCAATGTATTCGTCTATCTATTAGTTTATTAAATACTGATTTGAATTACATTTAGTGGTGAATTACTAAATCATAAACAATTGATTATACAGTATCTAAAACTTTTTGGGTTAAATCTAATTTCGAGACAATAATTGAAACGATAAATCATTTAATTATTATAAAAATCAATGAATGATTGCATGAATTGAATGTATTGTTAGGTTTGTTAGGTATAAAATGTGAGTGAAATTCAAATTTAAAATCAATTATTCGTTAGTTTTCGCAAAATTGTGTCTCATTTGAAATCAATTGCAAAATTGTGTCGAAAATGAATCCAAACAACGAATCCGTTGCCGAAGAGGAGACCACTCTTGCGATGCGATCGGGCGGTGAGATTCTGGAGAGCCGTCGCCGTCGCCGAAGCCATTCCGGCGGAAGACACGGCCGAAGACGTCGCTCTCGCTCTGGCCGTCGACACCGCCGCCGATCGCACTCTCACGGCGGCCGACGTCGCAGAAGAAGGAGAAGGAGATCCCACGGCGGAGAGGAATGAAGTGTTTGTCATCTCAAAGATTCAAAGACTGAAGATTTATTTCTGAAAAAATTATGTTTTCTCTCAAAATTTAGTCCCAAATAAAAGTCTTTTAAAACACAATTGAATAGAAAGTCATTTCAT